GTACACAAGCTGTGGACGATATTTTATGTAAGTACAACTTACTGTATTATTACATTTCATTCTAGAAACTGATATTAACTGAAAAATAATGATATTCGTTTTCGCTATTTTGCTTCTACATTTGGCTTATGTGTGAACGTTTGATTTTGTAAGATGTAATAGTAATTTGACAAAAAAAGAATATAATAAAATTTATGCAACAGTCGTTGTAATCATAAACGAAATAGCTGATGACTTTTATTAAGCTTTCATTCAAACAAAACATTTAGATTATAAAATGAAAAAAATAATGAAATTAAAATTTTAAATAATTATTCTAGTTCATTTCATCTCTCTTGTGTATGTTGCTTGAGAATCCGCAATTAAAATTTCTCATTCTGCGCTGAGAGGACAATGCATTCGTGTGGACGCAAAAGTCCGTTTCAATATTTTACGTACAATGTGCGCTAGTTAAAAAAAAAATCAGGCAAAAATCAGTCGTTTTAGAGTTCACTCGAAATGTATATCAATATTTATTAATATCTCATATTAAAGACAAAGATACACATAGCGATCTTACTGGAAACTATGAATCGAAGTCCATAGCTCTAACGACTAGGCCACGTGGGAGTAAATGAAATAAGGCCGAATATCATTAATATGGTTCCAAAACATTATTTTCCATATATTATTGCTATCTATATTTCCAAGTGAAAATCGTTGTCACTGCTGCCTGACAACAGGCTGCTCGAAGTGGGTATCGAACCCGGGATCTCTGAAACAAGTCCCGTCGATCTTAACCGCTTACCTACGGGCGAGCCCTATATATGAGAAATGAAAATGATTTTGTCGTTCATGAACTAAAACAACATCAATAGAGCTAGGACAATTTAAAAATAAATTGAATATAAAAACCTTTTTGTCTAAACTCTATAAATTTAAAAAGTATAAAAAAAACATTTGTGATCAAACGATCTACTTAGTGATTTCATTATGTCTGTATAGCTTTTGCTAAAAACAACGTAATATTATAAAAACAATTATTTTTCTAACTACAGTCTGGTCGTCATCGCTAACATATATTAGCGATATCGCTATGTTCGTCTATAAAGTTTCATAATTACTTTTAGTATCATTTTGTAATTTCTTAAGACAAATAATAAAAAGGTTATTTACGATTCTGACACCGTTTTCACTAGATAACACAAAGTATTTCCAATACGTTGCAATGGGTGTTAGAAAAGAGTAATCTTTTGCAATATTAAAGGTTTTTATGCGATGATGGGACTTTATTTAGAAAATCCAATATAACGAGCGAAGTAGAGAATGATGTGAGGAATTATTTCCAATAAAACAATGTGTACGATGAAATAATTGCTTCTAAAGTAAGCACATAAAAAATTATCTATTGAAAATAAACAATATGAAAGTAACAAAATAAAACTGAAAACTTTTTCCAAAAGATTTTTGCCTTCTAGACTTCTAGAGTCTTCTCCACCAATACAAACACATAAATCAGCTAAATACATTTATTTATTTAACAATATTATAATAGACGATGATATACATCAGAAATAAATATTACTAACAAATATGATATGGGTATATAATATAATAGGAAATATAATGTAGCATATATAATATTTTTAATTAGTTCTTGTTAATAATATAAAATGTTATTGTATACAGGTAATTAAGCGAATCTGTATAATTAGTATGAATAATAAAAATATATAAAACATAAAAGCTATTGGAAAGCAAAGGCAGGCAGTCGATTGGTACATTTTTCACAGTTCAATGTCATAAAAATCTTTAATTATCAAATTTTTATGATGAGAGTTATAAACTATTATAAGTTTTTAACATTGCATGGTTGTACATACAAGTTTCTATATTAAGTTTAATGAATTTGGCAAGATTTTATGTGAAAGCTTTTGAGAGCGATTTTTATCAATTAATTTCCGAGTATAAATAATAAATATTAGTCATTTCACGCCCTTCAGTAAAATTATTCGTAAAACAAAATCATAAATCTAATTATCCAAAACTATCTAAATCTCAAACTAAATATAATATTAAAACTTTATAAAGCGATTAATTTTGTCATGACATCAAACTAAAACAAAATTAACAAACATTTTAATATTTTTACATCAGAAAATTCCTAATGATAAAAATTATGTTCTATTATTCTCATGGTCAACCAAATCAAAACTACACAAAATGCCATGTAATATAATTTTCAAACCGCTTTTATATTCCAACAAAAACTTGTAAAAGATATATAGGTAAATTAACACCGATTTATAATACATATTACCTATTGCGCCATAGCAGTAACTAAGACTAGAATAATTTCATTTAATAAACCTTAGTTTAAAGAAAAAGTCAGCCAGATCACACAAAACTAACAAATTGATGAGCATATAAGACTAAACTTATTATTACATGAATATTTCATACACAACAGGCAGAACAAATATACGTGGTTTCCCTCCGCTTCGATTTAACTTTTCTGAACATCGATAAAATATTTGACATTTTATTTAGCTAAATATTTGCTTTGGAATGGTGCTATTTTAAGAGCAAATTATCATCTAAAATTCCATTAAAACTTAATCAACAATGGACACATCACATTTATTCAACAAATGACAATTTAACATTCTTGTTCAAAATGTCTTGAAAATAAGAACTTTATTAAACAATTAACATTTGGCAAACCAAATACAATACCCATTGCTGATTTTGAGTTCATGATTACTGCGATAGACCCTAACAAATTTACAGGCAAATTAATATCGTTTTTCTTTTTATAGTATTTAATGTTTGTATATGGATTGTGTTTTGATGTCTCCAAGTGTTTTAACAAACCCATACATGCATTTAGGCAATACCAAAATTATTGACACCCTTTATTATCGATAGTCCCCTCTTGGGTCTGCCTACTGATATCAATGTTGATCTGACTATTAAACAAATAATCAACTTGTTTAGTTCTAGAAAAGCTATTATGCCCTTAGAGATTTTTAGAATGAATGATTTATGTATTAGTCAACACTGCAAACCCAGATCATATTGTACACGATTTTATAGCAGTAAACAATTATTACTTTAGATATGATACAAATTTTGCAAGGTTATATAAAGTAAATTCAAGAGATCAATGTTCAGACATTACAGCAAAAAACGATTACACAACCATACACGGCTATGAGAATTAACAATCTAAAGATGAGGAAAATGCTAATAATATAACGCCAATAGATAATTCATCTTACTGCAAACTTATATAGAACGTTATTAATTTGTTGAATGCTTCGTAATGATGTATGTGATGCGCCAAATTTAATGTGATGAAGGGGAAAAGATTGAAATACATTTAACTTAAACAATAATACAGATTTTGAGTGAATAATAATACAGATTGATTAAGCAAAATTACTTGCTTATACATATGAAGAACTACTTTAATGTTAACAATAAACAATATTCATAGGCCATTCCGATAAGTAATTATAGAATATGCATAATTATAATATGCAGTTATGATAATATAATTAATTACTTAAATTATATTTAATTAAATTCATATCTAAGTGTGAAAGAGTATTACCTTTATATTGTTCATTGAAAGAAAAAATTAAGATATATTGGAAAATACTTTGCAAGTATTGTATTATCATACAATTCAGATTTTCTGCAAGAATTTGAACTAAATTGATAATAATTAAATACTAATTATTTTATAATACAGTTTTTATCATAACTATAAATCAGTGTGTTTATAATGACCACTGTATTGTTATCTCCGTTGTATCAAAAAATAACACAACCATAAGCAAAATCGCTAAATTATGTTAACATTTTTCTGCCCTTAGTTAAGATAGCTTAACTAATGTGCTGATAAATTAAAGTTCACTTACAATTACTCATTATGTAATTAGTCTTGGGTTACAGACAAAATATAGAAATAATACTTATTTGTGATGAACTTTGCATAATAGAATGATTTGAACTTTGATTTTGAGGTAATATGATATGAACATGTCATAACTACACATATGTAAAATTTTCATGAATTCTACTATACAAAAATCATTCTGTACATATACATAGTTTAAGCTTCAATCACAATATGAAAACTGAAAATTTAGATTAAATATAAAAGCTCAATATAAGAAGTTGCAATATGATAAGTTTAGATATCATTCCAAATCTATTTGGAATCTATTTATATTTTTCCATACCTTTGAGGTGGTCTGATCCCTATGCTCGATTTTTGTTTAGCTGCATGAGCCAATACACATTTATCAGTTGCTCTGTTATCAAAAGTTTGACTCCTTTGTATTCTTTTTCTACCCGCTGGATCAGTTTCTCCTTTAGTTAGCTTTTTGGCTTCTTCAGATTTTTTATAGATAAAACTCAGTTTACTGGAAGGTGGCTTTAAATTAGATGGGGGTTTAATGTTAGAAGGCATCAGTTTGTTTCCTTCTCTAGAAGGTATCCCAGTTTTAACAGGAATTTTTGGCTTATTATGAGGTGTTTCAACTGAAGTTATTTTTTGTAAACAACTTTTAATTGCAGGTTTTCTCAAATTTGATGGTTGCAATCCCTTTAATTCTATAGATTTTGGTAACTTGCATGGTATTCCTGAAGCTCTTTTAGCTGGTGATAAATGTTTTGGGGTTTCATGTGTTTCACATGGAGCTTGGTTTATTTTATTTGGTTCTTCTTTAGTAAATGTGCCTTGTCTCTCTAATGGTTTTGCAAAAGTCTTAACTTCACTCTCAGTTTTAACAGTTTTATTAACGGTAATGTTAAAATTATTTTTGCTAGCCAAATTTCGTCCTGGAGAATTTTTTCTGTTGTCCAGTTTTGATTTTGTAAATCTAGATAATGTTGGTTTCATAGTGAGCATGGAGTTTAGAACAGTTTTTGAATCCACTTGCTTCGTTGCCAAACTTTTAGGTTTATTAATTGAGTTTCTAGAAGTTTGCCTGGAAGACATGTTTCTATAGGGTGATATATAAGGAGATTTACTATGACGAGGTCTAACAACTTTAGTGACAGTTTCGTCATGAACTTTTTGAGAAGGTTTAACTATTTCAGGCCCTGCTGCATGAACTGGTGAAACTTTACTACTCTGATTCTCTTCATCATTATTTATCACATAGGATTTTGATTGATCTAAAATTTGATTTGAATCTTCTATATGTTTGCAGTTTTATTTAGGACTACAGTATTTTCTAATATTGCAATTTGAGAAGATTCTGCAATGAAAGCAGGTGGGCCAGATAATTGCTTGCTATCATTCAAAGTAGAATTCAAGTAGCCACAATTATTCGTAGAACTTTTTTGTGTTTCATCACTCAGTCGTCCTAAAACTAAATCTGTTTCATGTGCTAGAATGTCTTCCAGATTAAAATCAAATTCATTAACTTCATCAATATTTGTGTTGCTACTGGCAATTTCAGCAAGTTGTGCTTCTAAATTCCTCGTTTTGAATCGATCGCCATCACTTAATCTTTTCTCTCGGATTGATTTTTTAACAAAAGTATTTGTGTCAACAGGAGGTGACTTTGACTCTGGTGTTTCACATTCACTTATGTCCAATACCTGAGTTTGAAACCTGGCTCTGTCTTCTTGTCTTCTTTGCTTGCAAGTTTTCTTTAATTTCAATTTACTTGGTGAGGACACTGTAACATTTAATGTTTCATTAGATGTATTTTCCTCTTCTTGTCCACTTGCATTCAATGTTTTATCACTATTAAGCAAATCTTGTTGCAAAGTGTAAGTCAAATAACGTTCTTTTGCAAGTTGTCTATTTTGTTTTGGTGTTAAAGATTTTCTAGTACTGGGCGGAGTATCGAGAGGTAGATTATTGTCAAGAGTAACAGTTATATCTTTAGCCTCTGAAATTTCAGATAAGCTATTATCATTAAGTGTCATCTCACCAAGCAAAGATGGAGGATTAATATCTTCAATATCATTAACAGAATTCATTAAAAATGAATGTTGTAATGGGGGTGAGTTACTGAATTTTATATCTGCTATTTCAGATGTTATACTAGCTACACTATTTATACTATTATCCATATCTAAATCATTCATCACTGATGGAGGTTTAACACTATCTATGTTATATAATGAATTGTTTAAGTTCTGGTCAAAGCTATCGGAATTATTTGAAAAATAAGAATTTAAAGCCCTCCGAACGAGTAATGCTCCAGGCAATGGATTTCTCATGACTTTATGTGTACTAGCAGTGTTTGATTCAAAATCTAACTCTACATTACTGCAAATACTTTGTGAGAGGGAAAGCAAACTTCCCATGGGAGACGGTGGTTTAATTTGATCTAACATGGAATATTGCATGCTTTCATTACTTTCTAAAGCTTTTGCTAATTTTGTCGCTTCATATTCAATTATCGAAGAATTTGACATAACTTTATTAAAGTTGTGATGTTTGAATGGACTATACTTTTCATCTGACTTCATCAAAGAATTATTTTCATTCTTTTCTTGATTTATTTCTGATTCATTGAGCGTTGTGCTGATACATAAACTGACGTCTTCACTGTCTTGATCTAAATTCACAACGTTAGGAATCGTACAGCTGATGCTAGGGAATGACATATCATAGCTGCATGTGTCTTCAGAACCATTGTTTGTAACACTCCTCTCAACGTCATGTTGCACTTTCATTTCTAATTTTTGACCAAATTGATCAGATGATGTAAATGTTTTATCACAGTCGAACTCCTCAGATTTTGGTTGAACTATAAAACTTGTACCAATTTGTTTTTCATTTTCAATTTGTTTATTAGCTGTATCAATATCATGCCTTTCATGAGTCATTTGTTCATTCTGAAAATATATGAAAAAACAATTTCAACTGAATTGTAAACAACTATTATAACTTAATGGAAATATGAAGTCAATAAAATTGCTAATTTTACTTAAATTTCAGATATGTATTCTAAATTAAAAAATAATTTCTGTTGAAAGATTTTCTCAAAAGTCATTGAATTATATCACAATCATTACTAAAAACATATTTTCTCTGTTATAATATTTTTTCAAAAATATTTACTTTTCAAGAACTACATTGTTCAAGAATAATACTTACCACACTGTGAATATCATTCACTTTATCACTAGATTTATTCACTCGATCAGCCACATGTGTTTCTTCATAATCAGGCACAACATTATCTGTCCTATTTTTTGGCATCCCAGAGTAAATGCATTCTTTAAATAGGTCCAAGCCATCTACTTCTTCTTGGGATATTTTTCCATCTTGATCTTCTTTCATAAAGTTTGTAAACGTAGGAATATGGGACATACTTTTCTTTTCTCTATATTGTGATCTTATCTTTTCTTTTGATGTACCAGCATGATCACGGAATGTTTTATTCAAAGTCCGTGCTGAAGTTCTCTTAGTATTTGAACTTGATGACTTTTGTTTTGGTAAACCAGATTTAATACATTGTTCAAACAAATTTCCTTCACCATCAGGGGAATCAAAAGATTCGACGCTTGATGAGCTGAAGGAATGCAAATTGTTAACAGGCAGATCATTTGCCAATAATTCTTCGTTTGTTCTCTGCATTCTTTGCAATAGATTTGCCTTTTCTATAATTGAACATAAAATGTGATGAACAATTTAATAATAAAATCAAATATATATCAACAAATTTAGTAAATGTTTTACACATAATTTAATATATGTACCAAATAATTTACTATTTCGATATATTTGTGAAAAAGTAATATCTTTAATTATTTACCCGCCAATGCTGATGTGACTGAAAAATCTTTTTGTGGAGACGGCTCATGTGAAATATTCTTTTTCAATATATCATCAGAGTCACATCTGAAATATACAAATAAAACATGTACAAAAAATATTATTCATTAAATATATAATTCATAACTATTAGTCTCACATTTGTCCAATTTCACTTTTTGGCTTATCCAGAGAATTTATAGTCAAATCTGAGATACTTGAGCATACACTGAAATTATAAGGTGTATCTTCTACAGCATAAAGAGCTAATTCATCTTTGGGAATCAAATAGTTTGAAGCATTATCAGACTGTTTCAGATTGGTAGGAGGACTAGTTTGATCAGGTTTTCTGTTCTTCCTATTAACCTAAAATATTATAAAATTCACATTCAATTCAATAAATTCATATTGCAATAACTATACTTTGGCAAAAAAAAATCAAACAAACCTTATGCATTCCAAACTGTATACATTCTCCTAAAAGGTCCTTGTTTTCATTAGAAGAATTTGAACTATCCGATAAAATATCATCCATAGCATCATTTCCTTGTTTGATTCCTTTCCTTACTGTTATTTCATCAGCAGATTCAAAGGACTGCATATCATTAAATGATAGATCAGAATTACTTGGTGCTTTTGATACTGTTTGTGGTGTACCCTCAGTACAGTAATGTCTCACAGTATCATTATTAACTTTGGGTTCATATTTTGGAGTAGAATGAACAGGCATGGCTATGCGTGGTTTCTGCATGCCAATGTTGATACAAGCTGCAAGAATATCATCATCTTCGTCATCACCTTCTGATACTAATTGGTGCTCATTTCCTGTAGAATTATTACTTGATTTATTTTTATAAATATGTTCTTCTTCATCATCATCTATAGTTAAAGCGCTTAAGCTGGTAACACAAGAAAAATGTGCTGGTGTCCCTTCTTCCGCATAAGTTGTTACATGGTCTTTATCAATATCCCCTTCAGGAATGACTACTTTATGATTTGGCTTTGCGAGTTGCGTTGGAGGAATAGTTTGTGTTGGGGAATCTGGCAGTTCGCTTGGAGACACTACACCACTTGTCAGTCTACTGAAGTCGGATACAATAGAGTTATGATCATCTATAATTTCTGGGTGTTCAGTACTAGATAAAGAACCTAAAGAAGAACTACGAGAAAACATCAATGGCGTTTCTTGTGCATAATCTGGTCCTTGTACAAAAGACACTGCTTTAGCACTAGAAGTCCCTTTGTCTCTAGATACATTTGGAGATTTGTTTTCCTGAACCTCATTTAAAGTATCTACATTTTTCAAACTGCTTCCATTAAAGCCATCCAAGCTACTCAAAGAACTAACACGTGAGAAGTATCCTGGAGTGCCTTCTTCACAGTAATTGACTGGTTTTTCTGGACTGCCTATACCTGAACTGAATTTTGATGTGTAATCCTCAGTTTTCATGGTAAGCATATTTTGTTCAACAGCTGCATCATTGTAATCAGAACAAGTGTCTTTCTCATCACTAATAGTCATATTGTCTCTGACTTTATCACATATCTCTTCAACTTTTTCATCGTTACTTTTATTTGATTCAGCTTGAGGCAACATTCTTACATCAGTCATAGATGTTGTGGTAGAAAAATTATAAGGTGTTGTCTCATATGGTGTACCTTCTGTATAATAACATTTTACTGTATCTTCATGTACAAAGTCAGCATCTTGAGCTTCATAATATTGTTTTGTGGTTGCTTCTTTTGGTAAATCTGTTATTGAGTCAGATGCATTTTCACCATATTTCAATGAATAATCAGTCGGTTGATCCAAATCTGTTTCTTGATAATCACCAAAGCTTTCTTCATTCATATTCCTTGTAGTACTTACAGTTTCTACAATGTCATTATTGCCAATTTTCTGTTCACAATATTTTCTACTGTAATCAATAGGCTGATCTTGTGCAATCTCCATGCAATCGGCTTCTGAATAATTACTTCTTATTGGTACATTATAAAAGGAGATTTTTGATTCATTCTGTAGTTTTTTTGAATACTCATTGAAACTCATGAAACCTTCCTTCTTCTTTATGTTTTCATCATTCAAACTTGTGGAATTTATCTTTGGGGCAGAACTATTATATATCTCATTATGATAATCAGGTATAGTCACTAAATATCGCCTCAAAGCCCTTTCATAAACAGAGTCTGATTGTGCACTTGTTATTGAATCTTTACTTTCAGATCTATTTAGCGTATCAAACTTAGATGCCTTTTGCAATAAAGAATTACTGCTGCTATGCGACAAAAAGTTACGATTTATTACTTTTCTGTTCTCTCTGTTACAAGGTATTTGTAAGCTATATCCATTAGAATTAGCGGCCACACTATCTATATTATCACAAGTTTCTGAAAGATTTTGATCTATTAACTCATGTAGAGATTTTTGTTTTCTTACACCCAATGTAGTTAGATTTGGAACTCCTTTAGAAGAAGAATCACTTAAGAAATTGATGCACTCAGGTTTTGCATTTAACAAATTTTTGAGAGCTGCACTTGATCCCATAGATATCATTTTATGCTTAGAATATATCAAACTTCTTAATAAAGGGACAGCACCATTCTCCCATAAAAATTGTTGATCTGTTGAATTCCTAGCAGATAAATTCCATAATGTCCCACAAGCATTACTGACAATTATGAGGCTTGGTGATTTTAATTGTTGTAGTAATATTGTTAAGCAATTATGATGTCGAAGTATTTCTCTGTAGTCCTCTCTAAGGGCTATATGACTAGATACATTTCGTAATATTCCACCAGCATTCTCTACAATAGCTAGAGTTTTACTTGGGGCCTTATATTTTAACATTTCCACTAAAAATCCTAAGGCACCCTCAACAGAGCAAATATCAACTTTATTCAAAGAACAATGAGCTGATAAATTCCATAAAGCAGAAAGTATTGACTTTAAAGTAGTTTCTTTCTTGCTTTTCATCGCAGCATGTGTCAAGCCCAATACCGCTCCCACATCTCTTAGAATTTGTTTGCTAGAGGCATCGGCTCTCCATGACATGTTCCTTAAAACACTTGCAGATGCTTGCATTAGTTCGTCATTTTCAGAATACAACTGTGCGACAAGTGCCATCAAAAAATCTTTAAAAGAACATAAAAGTGATTTATTTTTACCATCACCAAAAGTAAGATTTGTTAATGCCATTCCTGCATATCTTCTTATTGTTATACAACTCATATTCATAGTAATATTACCGTGAGCTGCATGATCCAAAGTGATTATATCAGCAATTGCACGCAATGCCCCTAAATCACACATGGCATGCCTATGCTCTTCATCAAAACTTATTTTGGTTAAAACTCCAATAACTGATGTTGGGTGTATATCTTGACCGTTCTGTGCATTAAAATCCATTTTATTCATTTCGTTCTCAGATATTTGAAGCCGAAGCAAGTCACAGAAAACACGAATTTGTTGTAGAAGTTTAAATACTTTAGCTTCTCTACGCCCAGATCTATCATCAGGATTGGCTCTTATTACATTGTATAATGCTAAAGCAGCTTTTTGTTTCGTACTTGCATCAGGATCTGAATGTACAAGTTGCACCAGCAATGGAATGCACCCACTTTGCCGCATTGCAACACAACATTCCAAATTCTTACTCATTTCTAGAAATTCACTGCTCATATCAATTGAATTCTGTGACCCTAACATAGATAATAAAGAGTATACACATTTCACTTTAGAACCAAACATTTCTGGACTCTCCATGCTGGAATACAAATGCACTGGTAAACTTTTATTACACTGTTGTGATTGATAGCCTTTTTGAAAGTCAAAACTCTGAGCATGATTTGTGTTCGCCCAACTGGAAATTCCTCTTTCTACAGGCCATGTACTGTGATGCATCAGTGACTGTGGAGACTCTATCATATCTAATGACTCTAAACTACTATTTGGAAAATATGATCTGTTACTAACACTATGTTTACTATTATCACCCGACTCTAGAAACTCATCAGATAAACTTTTATTGACAGAATCTGAGTCATTTTTAAAGCTATCTGGGGTTTTAATCGGGACGTAGTCCTCATCTGAGAAATGAGGTTTTTGCATTTCATTAAAGTCTAAAGAGTTTACATCTCGTAATGCAGTCTTGGAGCCCGACAACCCATCAATATTAGTTTGGAAATCAAAGTTTCTTTTTTCTAATTCTAAATTTGCGTTGTATTTATTTAAATAAGACTGATCACTATTTAAATTGTTATAAAATTTGTTTCCATCACAATACAGGATGCCGTGCACATCTGCACCAGCACCTGTCAGACTGGAAATGTCTCCACTTTCCATTCTATTAGAGAAAGGTGTCAAGTAGAAGCTTATTATAAAAGACAAATGTTGTAACGATATTTAAACTTAAGAGGAAGCATTGCTAATGCAGGTAGTAATTGTTACTTCACTTCCATAAGGGATGATTATATTGTTATTATTTTAACAATACAATTGTCAAACAGAGTTGCGCACAAATCATAACGTATAAAACACAAATACGAACGAAATATTAGATCAGTCACATTTTTAGTTATTAAAATAACATACGCCACTTAATTAAACACTACTGCAATTTAAAAAAATAATTTAATGTCTTAATTGAGCCGCCAAGAGTCAAACGAACCTGTCACCTCCATCGATAGCTCTTGTATTGCCATATTAGAAAATAACTTCAGCTTTCATTTAAAGCTCGATTAGTGCAAGCGCTGACAACTTCGTACTTGTATATATATGGATAACTTCATCTACTTCGTTTGTAATAAAATTATTGCTTTAGTTAACAATCTATTTATTTATTTAAGATGTTGAGACATTTCATATACAATAATAATTGTATATAATTCATTATAACTGCATGAAAATATTTTTTTTTACATGAATCATCTATTAATTTATTCTTTACTTCCACTAATTCCAAAAATATCTGCACACTTTACCTCAAAAAATTCTCAATTTTACGTCGTATTTATTTGTAGAAACTCAAATAAATATTGATTTAAAACCTCTTCTGAAAGATTTAAAGTAGAACTTAAATCACAAACTTGATAAAAATATGACTTTTCTCACACCTTCGACTGCAATATCACTTTTTTTAGACCACCCTCAACCATATCCCTTTGAATAAAACCTATTTTATTAATTTATCAATAAATTGATTGATTTATTAACTTCCCGTAGGGTAAGTTATAGTAATCGCAAAAAATCGAAAATGAAAATTTTAATATATCTTTACGTTTCAAGGTTTCTGAATATTTTGACATACCGTAGAAAAAATGGATGTATGTATATGTGTGTGTGTGCGGATACAAATTTTCGTCGAAAATTTCGGGAACACCGATCAACCGATTTGAAGAATTCAAAAAACATTCGATTCCTATTGATGTGGAGACGTACTGATTAGTTTTTGGTATGGGCAGGTCCAGCCGTTTCGAAGATACATCCACTCATAGCGTTGTGCGTGAGCATGTCGTTATAGCTCAGTTGGTTGGCGCGTCACTGCAATCATGCAATTTTCGTTCGCGTTAGTAGATAAGAAAATCATCAACGTCGTCTAATCTAATAAGTTTTCACATTTTGTCTACAAGGAACAAATAATGACAATTCTAGTTTTTATAATATTAATAGACATTTTTGTTGACTGATTATTTTTATTCTTCAAATGTTTAATTACGGTACGGGAAGTTCCAGCAATTTGCCTTAAGGCACGATTCCATGCGCCCCACTAGTTTATTATTTGATCAGACGCGAACATAGGAGTTTTAATTTGTTCAACAGCATCCGGTAAATCATCAATCTGTTGTAAAATTTAAAAACTTAAAAACAATTCAAATGCATAATGAAATTGAATAAAAACAATCGATTAAATTATGTGATCAAACTCTGAAAATTTTAAGCATGTTACTTGTATATAAATTACGCCATTCATTGTGAATGACACATAAATAAATATGTTTAATAATAGTTAAAAGATTAGTAAGAGTCGTTATTGTTGTTTGAATAAAACAATAAAAGGATATAAACGCATTTAAGAAAATAATAAATACAAATCATTAATTTTTATGAGAAAAAACTCAAGCAACAAAGTTCTATTAGCCGATAGATACAAATTCATCCATTCAATTTTATTAAACCGGATGACGGTTTGAATTAAAATTTTTGATACAACTTCGTGAAAATAAGAATAGACATAATATCAAAATGCTAAATGTGAAAGACATAAATGGTCATTCTTTCTGTAAAAAATTGAGATGAGCTTTTTTTGGAAAACATTTACTGCCGGTTATCTGTCTAAAAGTAAAAGACATAAATCGTCAATATTAACTTCCCCTAGGGTGAGTTATAGTAATCGAAAAAAATCGAAAATGGAAATTTTTATATATCTTTACGTTTCAGAGGTGTCTGAATATTTTTGCGTTTGTGTGTGCGGATACAAATTTTCGTCGACGATTTCGGGAACACGGATGGAGCGATTTGAATAATTCAAAAAACATTCGATTCGTATTAATAAGGAGACGTGCTGATTAGTTTTTGGAAAAGGCAGGTCTAGCCATTTCGAAGATACGGGGCAAAAAGTGCCAAAAATGGTAACTCAGTTTTTAAGAGAACGGAGCGTCCGATTTTAATAATTCAAAAAACATTTTACTTGTATTAACAAGATGAAGAATTGATCAAATTTTCATGAGGGCAGGTCTAGCGGTTTCGGAGATTTAACGAAAAAAGTAAAAGAAATGCCATTTGGCGGTCAAAAATGATCATTAGACATATGCACATCAAATTATCAGATATTTTATAGAGATTTGAACAATAAGTATAAATTTTGTTTACATTCCTATGGGTTCCGTACCAATGCTTACTCGTTAGACGGCGGCGCGGCGCTTACGCGCTTCGATATTTCGTCTCTATGCAGTTAAAGCAGTACGATTGCTTTGAAAAAAAGTTCAGATTTTCCAAAATATGTCAAAATAAAGAAAACATTTTTTTTTTCAGAAAAAAGTAATTTTTTGTCCAATTTATAGTTTCTCAAAAATCTAATTTTTTCAAAGTAAATTTTTTTCAAAAATGTTATTTGTTTTTAAAAAAATAATAATTTTTGATACGGGAAGTTCCAGAAATTTGCCTTAAGCACGATGCCATGCGCCCCACATGTTTTTGTAAAAAGTTGAGATGCGCTTTTTTTCAGAAAACATTGACTGCCGGTGATCCGTCTACCGCAGTTGAAGAAGTGCTGGTAAGTTGTGCAACGTGAACATGCCGCATATTGTTCACAAACAAATGCGCAGAGAACTGTCAAAATCAGTGTATAATCAGTAGTATTTTTACGCAGACAGAAATGGTTACGTACGGTGATTAAGAACGTCAATCGGTGGTTAAAATGAATGAACAATATGACAAAAATAATATTAAATATTTAAATGTTCAGTGTCACAAATTTGCGGTTAAATACAGTTCTTCAAAACTTACTCGGCTGTGTTTGCACAATATCAGTTTGTGCCTTCAATAATTACGTTTTACTAGGTATGTTTAATTAAATTGTTAATTATATTTTGCTAGAATTGCGTTTTGCTACAAAAAATCATTTATATGTATGTACACATTCACTTTCATATTCGCAATCATTTTCGTAAACTAGTATTTTAGATAAATTATTAAAAAGCCGATTGTTTTGATTGAATATTTGGTTGAAAGTGTATCTGATTCTGAATCATCTAATTTCAAAATTAAATATCTAAAATTAACACAATATCTATTTGTATTCAATAATTTCGTTTTTCTAAGTATATTCAATTAAATAGTTAATTAAATTTTGTTAAAATATGCAATATTTATATTTATATACACAAAA